AGCATTACTGAGTTAACCACAGGGGCATGTTTAATTCATGGGGCAAGGAAAGAACAGGACAGGGGCTCCTTCTGCACAGTAGGGATCCCTCCCAGAACTAAACATCTCCATCAGTGCTAAATAGGCAGCAGGTACCCAGACACCTTCCCCTGCCCCTTCTTACCCTGGTCCCCTCTAGTGCCAGCTGCTTGCTTAGGCCCCAGAAGGCCTAATCTCAGGTGGATGCTAAATCTAACTTTCATCTGACCACATGATCATCAAACACAGGCCAGCCTGATGGAGAGAAGCCCCCTTCTCCAGCTCCAGCCCCTACTACCACCCCCAGGTTGATCATAGCTTCCTAACAGCAACTTGTAGCACCTGGTTAAAGCATTTGTGTGTCCCTAAAAAGGGTTTGGAAATTGCTCCCTTCCCAAGGAATGTCCAAGAGAGTTCTCAGGGAAGCCTGCTTTCCTTCATTGTCTTTTGGCTGAAAAAGTGCTTTGAGCCATTTGACTTGTGGTTCAAATTTAGGTTCGAATACTGCCTCCAAAACTTAGTAGTTTTGTGACCAAGAATGTCAATTAATGTCTCAGTTCACTCATTTACAAAATGGGAACAATATTTGCTGTACCAACAGGGTTGATTTGAGGAAAAGGTTTTGTAAATGGCCCAGTGATTTAGAAGAGTGAGCTCTCTCTCTCACATACACCTCCCACCATGTATATCACAAAATAAATCCCTATTAATCCAGAAGTGTTCCAACATGAAAACTGTAAATTCATATTGGAGTGTTCTTTGTTGACCTCCTCCAAAGTGATACCCTATTACCACCCTCGCCCTCTCCAGTTCTTGTTCTTGGACATGGTCCATTAGCAGACTGCAGGGACTTCCTGTTCTTGGCCCACAGTCACACGTCCATTTCTCTGTCTTCCCTGGAGGGCCCCCCATTAAACCAGGAGGAAAAGAATTTGTTCACACACCCCCCAAAAAAACTGAGCAGAATCTCCAAGAGACTCAGAAATCACAGTATATAGTGCTATGATTTACCTGGAGCAGTTTTTGTTCTAGGTGAGAGAAAATCTAGACCCATGAAGGCATAGGGATTTGTCCAGGGGCACATGAGTAGTAAGTAGAGCCAGGGTTTGAATCCATATCATTTTGATTCCATATCCAACATTTTTTTACACCACCAAGTGGCTAAAAGTTGGATTACAGGAAGTTTGCTACTTGTCAAAGAAATCATAAATGTAGGAAATGAAGGGTAAATGGTCAACTACAAATCAGCAGCAAAGTGGACTTGTTGCCAGGACAAGTAGGTTTAGAAAGAGACTCCACAGCAGGTGAGGGAAGAGGTCAAGTTAAAAAAAAGGCAGGCAGGAAGCGTCACTACGGTGTTCTTCAACTGGGGCCAGTGTGGGGAAAACATTTCCTGCTTAAAGGGTACCTCTTCTAAAAGTATACTGGCTGCTGGCCCTGTTGAAGTCAGTTCTGCCACTGTCTAAGTAACCTTGGGCAAGTTACTTGATCTCTGAGCCTGTTTCCTCCTTCTGTAAAGCGGTGTTGGACTAGATTCATAAAACTGCATGTCAAACATAGCTGTCTTCCTTTGTAATCTTATGCATCATATTTTAAAATGAGTCCATCGGTCTCACTGGAATATCAACGGGGTTCATGACACAAAAAAGGTTAAGAACTCCCTGGACCAGAGGGCCTCTGAGATGCCTTTCTAGCTATTAATCCTACGAGCCCTTGAGTATTCTTGACGGGGCTAAGGGGGGAAGAGTGGGAGTGTATGTGTGGACCTTTTTCTAACCACCAGGGAACATGACTCAGAAACATTTTGGGATTGTTAGAAAAGTGCTTTACAAACCTCAGGGCACTGTAGAAATTATTACGCATCCCAGTCTCCCATTTCTCAACACTACAAAACTAGTGGAATTCTCCCTGCACCCCCCTCACCCCATTCCTATCCCAATTCACACCATGTCAACTTGGCGGATTTTTCTTCTTTGCTCTTTAAAATGACAACATCCTAACACTTGACAGAGCAGAAAACCATCGTATTTAGAGGCAGAGGAAGCCTTTAGCTAGGTAGTCCCAATCCATTTTACAGATGAGAAAACTGAGTCTCAAAGACATTAAGTGACTTGCCTGAGCCCTTCCTGACTGCATATCTTGTACTCACTTCACTACACCAGTGTAGCGACAGGATCTCAGAGGAGAAGGAACCTCAGAGATCATCTAGTCTAACGTTGAGCTTGAAGTACACGATCCCTAGACAATATCCTCAGCATGCTTCAGTGCCTCTAGTGATGGGCACCTCAATGAAGCAGAATGGTGTAAGGCCTCAGCACATCTTGGTGCCAAAGGAACCCAGTTCTAAGCTGGCAGAGTATCTTCAAAGTTGGTGGTTTACAAAAAGGAATGGAAACACAAAATGATGCTCCCCTCCCCAACCCCCCTCCCAGAGTTGAGGCAGAGAAGGGGATGAGAAAGCTGTGGGTACACCCAGCACAGCAAACCTGTGATGCCTGGGGCTCCACCACAGTTCTTTCTTCTCACCAAACCGTGGCTCTGGACATCCCCACATACTGTGGGGAATCAACCTTTCTTATCGCCCACAGGCGGAGGCAGTAAGGCACAAAATAAGCATTAGACATCTATTTGGAAGACCTGATCTCCAATTTTTTTCTTTGTATTCTGAACAAGTCCCTTCACTTTTATGGGTCTGTTTCCTCAGCTGTAAAATAAAGGGATTGCAACAGATGAACTCTAAGCCCCTTCTAGCTCTAAATCCTACGACTCTCTGAAAATAAGGGTCTTGTTCTGAGGAATCAAAAGGGGCTTCCAGAAGAAGCAATGAGTGTGTTGGAACTTGAACTTGGGAGCCACAGGGTCCAGTTCTGTCACTCTATTCACTAGGCATCCCCTGCACTCCGGCAGGCCTGGGGCAGGATGTTGTGGGTGGATGGGCATCACAGCCCTTGGAGAGACAAGTCACATCCTCAGTTCCCTGAACCTGTGCAAACATCGAGTTACCATGGCAATGCTGCAGCCCAAATACACGGCGGCTGCAAGCAGCATGGGGTGGCTTGGCGAGCTTAATACATTGTGTGGAGAGTACCTGTGCAATTGGGGGGACTGGATGGACCCGGCGGGGGAAAGGGGAGGAGGGAAAGCCCTCTGGAAAGATGGGCTGGTAATTGCAGCTAAGTGAGGGACTGTCACTGAGCCCAACAAGCACAGAATGAGCCCCACTCTGCACCCTGTAATTACTGCACCAGACAGCTCTGCTCTCCATCTCCATGTGCCTGGAGGGGAGGGGGGCGCAGCAAGGGAAGACAGGAAACTCACAGCCACCTGAGACAGCAGGGTTTTGGCAATCTTTCCCAGCACTAAGGTGTACCGGATCACAAGCAGGTCTTGGGGAAGGGGAAGCTCTCAACCCTCCAGCACTCCCCACTAGGCTCTCCAGCATGATACCCTGGGTGTGTAGGGCACACTGCCTTTAAGAGAGTACTTGTCTTAAAGTCAAGAAAACCTAGATACAACTCCCAGCTCTGTCTCGACTTGTGGGGCTTTGGGCAAGACATTTTCCCTACTTGGGCCTAATCCTTGGGCTCATCTTTTGCCAAAACCCTCTGAGAGGGCAATGGCACATCGTATACACCAAGTGCAGAAGGTGGGGAGGGGGGCTCTTCTGTGGCATGTGGATTTGCTGGGGTGAGCCTCAAACATCTATGCATAATGAATTGGGGTGATTTTCTGAAAATGCTTCATCCAGTAGATTCTCTTACTGCCAGTCTTCATTCCCGCTCACTGGACAAGACGAGCACCCAAGCGCCCTTCTCTGAAAATATTCAAACCTCAGAGCTGGAGGCTGAAATCTACAGCTCCTGAGGAGGCGGCGGCAGTGGTGGTGAGGTGGGCTGGGGGCTGGGGAGCGGCAGCTGTGTGGGGCAAGGGCGACACCTGCTGTGGGTTCCTGAAAACACTTCAGAGGAGAAAAGGATTTGGAGTTAGAACGTTTTGGTCCAGCCTGTGTGTTAGAGAGGGGCCAAGTGAGGACCTGGAAGGTTAAGTGACTTGCTAAGGGTCACAGTGGCAACAAGCGGCAGAACCAGGACTCAAACCTAGGGAGATTCAGTGTGATGTGTGTAGATGCAATGGACCTGTAATACCAAGGCCAAGTCTCTGTCCTACCATTTTACTGTCTACAAAAGCTTGGGTAAATCACTTCCCTTCTCTGGACCCACTTCCACAACTGAAAACAGAAACAGAGTAATCCTGAGGAAAGGGATTTTTTGAAGTGGTAAGTGACCTAGACCATCAGTTAGGAGGCCTAAGTTACAGTATGACAAATGCCCATGCGATCATGCTAAGTACTTCTCCCCTCAGCCTGTGACCTTCTATATGAAATGAGGAAGCTGAGCCAGGCATCTTCAATATCCTCTCCAATTCCACCCAGGATATCTTGAGCATCCAATCCTAAGGCCCTTTCACTACAGTACCAGATTCCAGCGTTCACCCTGCCCAGTGGCAGACAGCTTGATGGACAGCCCCAGGACCAGCAGCTCCCAAAGGGAAGGGTAGGACCAGAACAAGTGGCTGGGCAGAGAAAGAGGCTCCAAGGAGAGGACAGCTATACTCAAGAATAGTCCAAACACAGGAATACACTATATCCTAAGGGCCAAGACAATCTTCATTCCCCAGGGAGTCTGTCCCTCAGTGAACTACATCATCATTGCCTCAGAGTCCAGGTCTCATCTTCTGAATGTCTTCTGCAATTACTTTTACAGGCTTTTACTTGGCTCAGACGTGGGAGGGTGGGGAGTGGGGAAATGGGGGGCAATGCATAAGATAAGGTGTCTTCTGGTCACCCTGGGCCTGCAATCTTCTATCCATGAAGTCCTTACTGCATTCACACCAGCAGTGGCTTGGAAAAGACAGTTTCTGTGGCTACTCCCCTTATTCCCAGACCTTCTGGGATGGATTAAAGCTGGATTCCAGGCAAAGAGTGGTGGTCAGTGGACCATAAAGCATTTATTTCCAAACTATAAATAAAACTGCTCTCTGAGCAAAGAAGGTCTCCAGGTTGAGGTCCCAGCCCCTCCACCTTCCCCTAGCTGGGGAATAGTCTACAGTTTACATTTTTTTCTGGCAGTAATCTTGATTATCCCCTGAATTATGACAATTCTTGGTCTAAGAGGTCTTAGGGAACCAATCTAGGGGAACCAGCCCATTCCTATCACCCACTGTGACCCCTACCCAAGTCTTGCCCTTCTCAAGGCCTGGTAATATATCTACTTCACCCTGATGGTCCACACAGGTCTCATTTGGTCCTGGATACCAAGAACACGACTATAACAGCCATTTCACCCATCATCTTCCATACTGATACGTTATATCAGCAGAGTCCCAGTCTGGGCATCACAGAGCCCACTGCTGCCCATCTGATGAGGCAGGGCACTTGGATCTGCCTACATGGTTGGCTACCAATGGTGTACAAAGAAGAATCAGTGCAGGAAAGGGGTGGGATGGTACAGGCTGTACCAGCCAGGCAGGTCACTACTGCCCCTGGGCCACAAAGTATTTTTCTCCCTCATCCTCATCTTCCTCGTCACCAGGCTCCCTGTTCCGCAGGAGTAGTTCCAGGTCAGAGCTGGAGACAGGCCCTTTGTGGGGCTTAGGACCACTTTCACCTTTGGAGATACAGGGAAAGAGACAATTACTAAAACTGGGTTGGCTTTCTGGCTTCTGTGCATCAACCGCAACAGAGGGAAGCCAACTGTGTGCTTGCTGAGGCACAGAGAGCTATCCGCCCACCTGCTCCACAGATGCCAGTGCTTCCCCCAAAGGGGTGCAAGTAGAACTCGGAGGTATACTTCCAGCATTAGATTAAAAGCTTAAACTAAGCATTTGGGGGGTGTTGGTAAGGCACAATCCAGTGAGGACTACTGTGGGAAGCCAAGAACAACTTGTTCCATCTTCACAGAGAGGAAGGCCACGCAAGTGGAAACCTACTGGGTATGTGGAGAATGCCACTGAGGGGCTGAAGATGCTGAGCAGCACTCTATATTACCTTTGGAGTGGAGGGCTTTGAGGGTGATGTGGAGGGATATCCCAGACAGACAGAGGGCAAAGCCCAGCCAGTTCAGCAGGCTGATCTGGTCTCCCAGCAGATGAGCTGCCAGCAGTAAAGTACAGACTTCCTGGAGGAAGAGAGGCAGGAAGCAAAAAGGTGATTGGCAAGAGGAGGGGGCCCCTATACTCAGAGGCTTCATATCAGGAATTCAAGTCTTTGGAATGGAACAAAAACAGGATGGATAAGAAAAGAAAGGCTGCAGGAGAGAAAAGTATTAATCTTCAGCACAAGAATAATAACTTACACGTATACAGGGCCTTACAGAATACAAAGTGCTCTGCCATTCTTTGGGGGCAAAATATTAATACCCCCATTTCACAGATGATCATAATGAGACCCAAAGTGGCTAAACAACTTGCTTAAACTCACATGGCTATCAAGTAGCAGAGCCTGGATTTGAACTAAGGCCAATCCTCTTTTAATTACACCAGAAGTGTCAAAGTCAAATAGAAATGAGGGCCACTAATACATACATTAGGATTCCCGCGAGCTGCACATTGACTAAGTTTTAAGATGTAATATTATCTATGTTTTACTATATTTTAATTTATTTTGTTAAATATTTCCCTTCTATTTTAATCTGGCTTGGGCTGTACATAGGAAATCCATCCCTGCCTCCCTTGAATGTCTCTAGTGCTTACCATCCACTAAAATCCAATAAATGACATCTTTTTAAAAGATCCTTCTGTGAATCCAAAATGGCAAATGGGAGCCAGGGAGAGATTCAGAACCTTTAGTGCTGCAAACCAGTGCCAAGACCTTTATGTTCCACATGGTTCTTTCACTGGAAACCTGAAGCTCTAGAAGCTCTTTGATGTTTTTAACAGGATATTCCACAGGGCAGACAGATGTGTGGCTCTTAGATTGATGATGAGTGCAAATGTGCCTCCTTAACCTATCTGTGAGGACCAATGTTCTACAGATTCACAACCTCTTGGCTATGAGGTAGCGTGGGATAGGAGAAGAGCAACAGATTTTTGGTCTGAGGACCTGGATTCAAATTCTAACTCTGCTACTCAAAAGTGGCCCCTTAGGTAAACGACCTAACCCCTCTGACCCTCTGTCTCCTCATTTACAAAAAAGGGAAGGGAGTAAGAAATTGGACTAGATGGTGATCTCTAAGGTTCTTTTCAGTTCTATATCATATTATCTTCGAAGACACCACTGCCCCTCCCATCCCCCAGTAAAACCATACCCAAGGTCCATCCTAATCTTTGGACAACAAAGTTCTTTTCTCTTGGGAGGACTCTCCCAGCTTCTTGGCCTTTTCATGATGTTGAGAGAGGCAGTATGGTATATAACAGTGTTCTGGACACACGGTCAGGAGGCATGGGTTCAAATCCCAGATCAAACAGTTACTAGTTGTGAGGCCTTGGAAAAGCCACTTCACCTCTGACCTTCAGTTTCCTACTCTGTAAAATGAGGATAACAATCCTTATACCACCTACCACATAATTATTGTGCAAATATGCTTTGGAAACCTTTAAGTCACCACTAAAGTGAGCTACAATGTTGAAAGCAACCCTTAGTCTCCTCATACCTAAAATGGAGTCAACAATCCTTGTATCAACTACCTTAAGGTTTTGAGGAAAATGTGTTGTAAACTTGAAAGGGTTAAGTAAATGTGAGAGATGATGATCTGGCTTGAGATCCAGGGAGACAGCCCCTGCTCTCGCTGGGAGCCCACAGAGGAGGCAGCATGCGATTATCTGCAGGCAGACAAACTGGCGGTTCTGACTTCCAGTTCTGCTCCTTATGTGATTCCTGGAACGCCAAATCCTCTCCCTGGGCCCCAGTTTCTTCGTCTATGGAACAAGGGAGTTGCTGACTAAGATCACCTTCAGCTCTAAATCCTACAACCTACCTTAAAAATCCCAGCAATGGAGAGGGTCAGGCTGGAGGTTCTGGAGACTAATAGGAACTCTGAAAAGCCCAAGCCAAAGGCAAGTATCCCACCTAAGAAGAGAGACCCAAGTATACCCAGGAGGAGCCCTGGGTCCTGGAAACGGAAGATTTTCTCAGATGTAGACAAATGTAGACCTGAAAATGACAGGAAGAGAGATTGTAATGCCAAGTTCCAGGTGTGTTCATGTCCCTAAAAGTACTCACCCAGAATGAGTGGGAGAGGGGGGATAAGAAAGGGGAGCGAGCTATGTGTCATCTCATACACATCCAGAATGTAAGGTCCCTTAATGGCAGGAATTGACTTTTGTTTTGTCTTCCTAGCACCTAGAGAAAGATGCCCTGAACACAGTAGTAGCTTAGTAAATATTTGCCAAGTTCAATGAAATTTAAAGTGAGATTTGCCATCATCAACTGGTACTTCCTCAGTATCAGTTGTGGAAATGGGGCTATGTAAGACCCTGGGAAAATAGATCTGAAACAAAAATAATGTAGCACAGATTATAAGTTTATAGATTTAGAGCTGGAAAGAGCCTTAAAAGCTGTCTCGTCGAACCCTCTCACTTTACAGATGAGAAAACTGAGGCCCAGAAAAGTGAAGGTACTTGCCCAAAGCCACATATGTTCTATGTGGCAGGGCCAGGGTTCAAACCCAGGTTCTCTGACTGCAAATCCCACAGCTGGGGAAAAGTGATCACTACAAAACAACTCAGACAGAGGGTCTGAGGGGTTCAGGAGGCCATCTCAAGACTAAAGCAATAAAAGTCATTTTAGGGGGTACCTCAGCATTGACACCTGAAAGAAAATGTCCCTCTTAATTCAGAGATGATGGTCATGTTTGTCCTCTACTCACATCAAATAAATGTTTTAATAAAATATGGTCATCACTGGAGGTAGCTGTGGTAAAGTAGAAAGAACACTGCATTTGCAGTCAGAAGACCTAGATTCAAATCCTAGCTCTTCCATGTACCTCTGTAACCCTGGACATATTATTTAACTTCTCTAGGCTTCAATGTCCTCAATTCTAAAACAGGGTTAATAATACCTATACTACTTATACTGGGTAATTGTAAGAGTCAATAACGCAATGTAGATAACATGTTAAAAGTCAACAATTTATCTGGTAACAGTCAAGAGACCTTTGGGCCTAGACTAGCAATACCGCCAGTCATGCATTTGGTCTCTCTAAGCCTCTTAGTCCAAAACAAGAAACACAGAATTCAGAGCTAGAAGGAATCCTGAATGACATCTAGTCCCAATTCTTTTATTTTACTGATGAGGAAACTGAGGCCCAGAGAGGGAAAATGACTTTCCCAAAGCTACAAATGTATTAAGTAGGAGAACCAGGATTCAAACCAAGGCCCTCTGATTGTTCTTTCCATTATATCTTCTGTTCCCATTTACCTCCTGTTAAAGAAGGTGACATATAGGACACACCCAAAAAATACTTTTCCTGAAAATGCTCTAAATCACTATTGATTAGAGAAATGCAAATCAAAATAACTCTGAGGTACCACATCACACCTATCAGATTGGCTGACATGACCAAATAGGAAAATGATAAATGTTGGGGAAGATATAGGAAAATTGGAACACTAATGTATTCTTGGTGGAGTTCTGAACTGATCCAACCATTTTGGAGAGGAATTTGGAACTATGCCCAAAAGGCTATACAAATGTGCATACCCTTTGACCCAGCAACAGCACTTCTAGAGCTGTATCCCAAAGAGATCATAACACTGGGAAAGAGACTCACATGAACAAAAATATTTATAGCAGCTCTTTCTGTGGTGGCAAAGAATTGGAAACTGAGAGGATACCCATCAATTGTGGAATGGCTGAACAAGTTGTGGTATATGAATGTAATGGAATACTACTGTTCCATAAGAAATGATGAGCTGGCGGACTTCAGAAAAACCTGAAAAGACTTGTATGGTCTGATGCTGAGTAGTGAGCAGAACCAGGAGAACATTGTACACAGTAATAGCCATGCTGTTTGACGACTAATATTGATAGACTTAACCCTTCCCAAAAGACTCATGATGGAGAATGCTATCCATATCCAGAGAAAGAACTATGGAGTTTGAATGCAGATCAAAGCATACTATTTGCTCTTTTTTTTTTCTTCTGCTTTGTTTTGTTTCTTCTTTCTTGTGGTTCCTCCTTTTGGTTATAATTCTTCTTTATAACAGGATTAATGTGAAAATATCGTTAACAGAAATGTATATGTTGAGCCTATATCAGATTACGCACCGCCTTGGGGAGGGAGGAGGAAAAAATTTAAAACTCAACAGCTTATGGAAGTGAAAACTAAAATTAATTAATTTTAAAAAATATTTTTTCTGTTTATGCCTGAAATGTGCTTTGAGCTCTCTGGAGCAAAGTACTTAAAAAATTCCAAGCAGTGGTGGTAACCACAAGCAAACAGACTTCCAATGTAGGCCATCAGGCCTGATGCTAGCTAGGCTCAGCAGTACTGCAAAAGCAGCAGCAAATTGAAGGGAGTTCAGGGAAGAGCATAAGTAACGAAGGCGCCTGGGGGATTAATTTAGCAGAAAAGATTAAAGGAACTAAATCCATGCAGCTTTGCTAAGTGACGACTAAGAGGGGCATTATGATGAGGGTTTGCAGAGATGTGAATGGTGTAAACATCAAGAAAGGGAGGGGGAAGTTTCTGTGTGGCACAAGGTGCTGTGATGAAAGAATGGGGAGAAATTTGAAGAGGCAAAATTTTGGTGACATAATAGAAGCTTCCTGAACAACTGAGCTAAAGAATAATTTTACTATGGAATTAGAAAAATCACAGTCCAAGCCATACCTGAACCAAAATCTGCCCTACAACTTCGCCGCCATGGGGTCATCTAGCTGTTGCTTGAAAACCTCCATGATGGGGACTCACTAGCTCCAGAAGAGCCCAGGACATTCTGGACAGCTCCAATCGTTAGCACGTTTTTCCTTATGTGGAACTGAAATCAACCTCCCTCTAACTTCCCCCCATTGCTCCTGGGTCTGTCCTCTGGGGCCAAGCAGAACAAGTCTGATTGCTCTTCCACATGACAGACCTTAGCACCTGAAGACAGTGATGATGCTTCCCCCCTCCCCCCACCCCACGTCGTCTATTCTCCAAGCTTTTAAACATCCACAATTCTTCCACTTCTATAGGCCTCAGTTTCCTCTTCTGTAAAAAGAAGCGGGTGAGACAAGATGATCCCTAAGGATTTTTTTCCCCCAGTTCTAATTGCCATGATTCTTATTTGAACCAACAGAGGCTCAGAGAGACCAAACTACCCACAGAGAGTTGGTGGCATCGCTAGCTGAAGCTCAAAGGTCTCCTATCTTTCTCTGGCAATCAGCTAGTTCATGCAGCTATCAGATAAACTGCTAACATTTATTTAACAGGTCACAGCTTATAAAACTCTTTACATCATTACCTCTTTTGAGAACTCTTTGAGGTAAGTAGGACAGGTAGCATCCATTACCTCTGTTTTAGAGGTTAAGTCTTTCTTGCTTGCTCACCATGCCCAGACAAGCTCCGGTTTATGTCAATGTCACTGTGAAATGTGACAGTCAGAATTGAACATAATAACCTTCTGGCTTGTGCAGGGCCCCTGTGCTTAGAGTAGAAATCGATGCAGGACAAACGACTCCCTGCTCAGTCTATGACAACAGGAACTCTCAGTAGTGGGCAAAGGCAGAGCTGAAGAAAGACCCTAGAATACATCCAATGGCCCTCAACTGACAGGAAGAGGAAGGAAGCTGCAGTAAATCTCAGGCTGCAAAATACCTGTATTCTTTCCCTCTACCTCCTTGAGAGGCTGGCAGAGAGAAAGAAAGTGCCCCTTTATTGCTCCCCTCTGTCTAATGTGACAGCCCAACATACCTTCAAAAACAGCAAAAAGGGGGAAGAGTCCCAGAAACATGAGTGGCTGCAGGTGATACATGGTGTCAATAGGATTTTGGAGACCTGAAGAAGACAGAGAGAGAAAACCCATCCTAGTTCTGACCAGCATTACTTCCTAATCCAAGAGCCATACCATCCCACCCATGCGATGGTCTCAATATACTCACCTAGTTCAGCCTTCTGTAGGAGGATCTGGGTAAGGGTCCATCGAATTCCTCCAATGAACGAGGCCCCTAGCACCAGGGCAAATCCCTCTCCATTGAACTGTGTGGACTTATAAGTGAACATGAAGAGGCCACCAGCAATAAGCAGGACCACCAGGACTAGCGCTGCCCGCTGTTGGGATGGGAAGACATTGTCTATCATCTTGAAGGACCTGGGTTCTAGAGCAGCAGCAGCAGGATAAATGGCTCACAGGATTAAGCTCAACCATCTCATTTTAGAAAAGAAGAAACTGAGGCCCAGAGAGGTAAACTAATTTTCCACGGTCACAAAAACTCATGTTAACTTTCACACAGAACTTTTAAGGTTTGCAAAGTGCTTTCCTCATAAGAACCCAGAGAAGTGGGTAACACAAATATTACATATGCCATTTTTGCAGATGACAAAACCAAGACTCAGGAAAATCACAGCTAATGAATAATGCAATTGGGAGTTGAACCCATGTTCTCTGGCCCCAAATCCACTGCTCTTTCCACTACCATCATAAAAGCTTAACACACTTGGAGCTATTTACTGCAGCCACCTCCTGCGGCAGGAAATTCTCCCATCTGCCTGTGATCTTCTCCTCTGGCCCCTCACCCTCCAAAGCAAGAAAGCAGTTTGGAGAGGACATAGGGAATCCTAGCGTTCCATCCAGGCCTGACTCTGATCTACCCCACCACCCAACCGACAAGCTCCAGCCTACTTTCTCTTCTTAATTCTTAACACTAGGGAAGGGATTGGAGAGGACAGAGCACAAAAGCAAACAGAGAAAGAGCTGAAGGGGAAGCTGAGGCCTCACCAGCTCCTCCAGCTTGAAGATCAGAGAGAAGATCAAAATGAAGAGGACTGCCGAGGACTTGGTCATTGTGTACCTGGAAGTGAAAACTGCAGAGTCACACACTGCTACAGGGCCCATGGCCACAAGCTATGCAAGAAGGGTAGGAAAAAGGGCATCATTTGCTTTGCCCAGGAGGGTGACTGGGTAGGTGAGTTCTGCGCAGGCCAGCAGGATGGCCTGGGTACAAAGGGCACCAAGAAGCCAAACTCTGTGCAGACTGACTGACAAGTGACCTTCAGTGAGGGGAAAAAAAAAGAGCTGTGACTAAGAGGCCTGGGACTATTGTCAGGAGAGAACAGCTGCATCCTGACATTGAGCTCTCCTAACTCTAGGATTTACCTGCAGCTCAGCAAGGGAGCCAGGGCTGGGAGGAAACAGAAGAAGAGTAGGGAGGAGGAATGAATTCTGCTCTCCTAAGCCAAGAATGAAGATAAGGAACAACTATCCCTCTTGCTTCTCCCCCCATTCCCCACTGTGCCCATTTCACATAATGCTAATGTGGTCTCATGCATGCCAGTCAGTGGGTCATTTATCTTAACTCCCTCTTCTTTCTCATACCATGGCAATGGCCAGTCTGTCTGGGTCCCCTGACTTCCCCACGCCGCCAAGACAGGCAGGCCCCAGGGCTCAGCACCCCGTATGCGCTGGGCTTACTGACGAGGCTGGAGTTTTCCAGGACAGCTGCTGGGGGCCAGAGAGAAGCTGAGAGCAAGGACTGATCCCAGAGTGGTGAAGCAGCCGGCCCATCAGTCGGACGTGAAGGCAACCCGCTGGACAGACACAAAGAGCTCAAAGACTGAAGGGAGGGTGGTGGGGAGCAGGCCGATACTCACAGTGAGACGGTGATGTACAGGAAGCTCCAGTTAGACAGACCCACGTCAAGTGCCGTTGCCAAAGCTACCGAAAGAAGAATCGGCCTGTGGAAAGGACTGATCTCTTCCCTAGGTGCCAAGTTCACTTCTGAATTGGAGATCAGGTGCAGAAGGGGCTGACTTCCAGCTTACCCACTGGCCCTCAAACAGTAACACTAAGAACAACTCACAGCTCTAAGATACTTTAAGGTAATACAACTGCCTACAAAGTGGACAGAGGTGGTGCAGCAGCACAGTCATTATCCCCCAGGGAAGGAGGAAAAGGACCAGACCTGTAGAACAAACTCCTGGTGTGAAATGCTTCCAGAGGAGCATCTGCTCTACAATGTATAATCTCAGAGAGTTGTCTGGGGCACTACAAGGTAACAGGGGCCCACAGCCAATCTGTGTCAAAGCGAAAGACTTAAACTCAGAACATGTTGACTCTGATGCCAGCTCTTTAGCTACGCTATACTATGCTATGGCTGCCTGTCTGCAACCTCATTTGAGCCCCATGACAACTCTGTGGGGTAGGTAACCACAGATGCTATTATGTTCAAATGAGTGAACTGAAGCTCAGTAGTTAAGTGATTTGCCCAAGGTCATACTGCTCTGAGATTCCAAGTCCAGGCCAAAAAAGGAGGTCAGAGCAGGGGCAGTGACTGTCTCCAGGTCTTCTCACTCCCTAGATGGTCAGTACCCACCCTGAAGCCCACACTGCCTCCGAACGTACCTGTGGGAGCTACTCTCTGGAGGTAGTCGGCCCAGCTCAGCACCACTCGAGGGCGCTGGTGGCAGCACTGTGCCAGCGCTCGGGACAGAGCCGAGAAAAGGAATATCACTACGAGATGAAGCAGGGTCATGAAGAGAGGGAAGTGGAAACTCTAAGGGAAATTCAAAATAGAACCAATTGTCAGGAGTTTAGGCTCCAGAAAAGCAGTTTTTCTCCTTCCCATCTTTCATGTGCACCTATATCTTCTTTGGTCTCTCCCCTCCAGCCGGCACCCACTTTGTCCTCATGCCCTCCAACCTTGCACCCACATTCCACCTCACCCCCCAGGGGTGGGTACTTGTGTTGAGCACCACTGAGGCCCAAGAATTACCTTCATTAGCCATTTGTTGTAGAAGGTGATGCCAATGGAGAAGCAGTAGTAGAGAAGTACCAGTCCCAGAGTCAGCATCACCTTCCAGATGAAGGTCAAGCCAAAGGTCCACCTCCCCATTGGCGGCAACAGTGACTCTCCAAACACCTTTTTGTCCACTGGTGAGTGGCAGAGGTGGGACTAAGCAGCTACTGCCCTGGCTGGACGCCAGCCCTCTCGCTTGAAGCCAATACACAAAGCAAGAGTTGGCTGTGCTGGACCAAGAACTTCAGCGGAAACATCTCTTATCAGTGGTGGTTCTCTCCCAGTTGAAGGCTTAACACGGCCATATGATCATGAAAGCTCTGGCCTATGCTGAGGACTCTCTCACCTCAGGGGCTGGTGAACAGCACCTACCCACACCATGGCTATCTAGATGCAGAGCTCACAGGATTCTGGATTTCTTGCTACAAAAAAATAAATAAGAAAGAAGTTTGAGTTCATCCATCAGCAGAACTATACGTCTCCCACAAATGTGTGCAAATGTTCCTCAACTTAGGCATTTCAAGAAGTATGCTTCACCCTTGAAGGAGTGAAAGGACTAGTGGAAGAATTTATACCAAACACTAGCACAAGCTCCCTGCCAATCTGATATGGGGGAAGGGGGAGCAGCTAGGTGGCACAGTAGATAGAGCACTGGCCCTGGAATCAGGAAGACTTGAGTTCAAAACCAGCCTCAGACACTAGCTGTGTGACAGTAGGCAAGTCACTTAACTCTAATTGCCTCCACCCCCCAAAAAAAAAAATCTGATATAGGGAACAGTGTACCTTTAAATGGTCCTAAAACCAGCCATATAACTAGTCCTTATTTCTATGGTCTCTATTTCATGATCTCAAAATTAAAAAATGTTTTCTAAACCAACCACCTCCAAAGCATGGTGGACCATAACACAGAGCCTAGATACAGAGGGGGAAGGGACCTTGGAAGACATCTAGTCCAATTCCATCATTTTACAGATGAGAAAACCTAGAGCCAGGAATGTTCAATGATTTGACTAAGGTCACCCAGGTGGTAAGTGAGAGAGCTAGGACTTGAAAGTAGGTCATCTGACTCCAAATCTAGTGCTTTTTCTCTATCATTCAGTAACAGGCCAGAGACATCTTAAGACCAAGATAGGAATTCAGGGAGCAAAGAAGGTAGGCCTTCCTAGAAAGAAGCTACTGGAGAACTGGATTTGGTGGGTGTTTGTAAAATGGGCCTTCTGGAGCCCTATTCCATCATGAAAATCAGCTGAGAAATAGCAACCAATCATAGGATTACAGATTTAGATCTGAAAAGGATCTTAGAAGTGATTTGGTCCAATATTTTACAGATGAGGAAACTGAGGTCCAGGAGAAGGGACTTGCCCATATTCCCATAGATAAGCAACTGGCAACTGGAGTTGAGAACTGAACCCGGGTCATTTGACTTCAAACCTAGCATACTTCCCAGCACTCTACACTGTGCTGCTTCTCTAAAAAACAGAACAAAACAAGAACTCATAAATCCTCCCCCTTAATAGTATCATTCTCTTATAGGAATCCTCCACCCTCTCAAACACCCCTTACAAGTTAGTACACCTTTACTCAGTTTATACCTTCTCACTTCCTAGACTTTTTCCTCCTAACTATGCAAATCTTATTTGCTTTTCAAGGTTCAGCTCAAATCCCACCTTTACAAAACCTTCCCTGGCTCCTTAGCCTATGGACTCCTCTGTTGTTTTTTGACTATACATTTGATTATACATTTAACATTCCTTAAAGTCATAGCACCATCAAATAACAGCACCGGTAGAAACACAGTACAACTACATCATTTTATTCATTAGAGGAAAGGGAACAGAAAAAGGAAAATGAATTGTCCAAAGTTACACAGTGAGCTGGAACTAAAGTCCAAATCCCCTGATTCCCAATCCTCAACAAGTAGTCAAATTTGAAGGAAATAGGATGGGGGGCATAATGCTAGAATGTCAAAGCTGGAAACAATTTCATTAAGAGACTAGTCCAATCTCCTCATTTTACAAAAGATAAAACAGCCTAGAAAAAAGGAAATTACTTGTCCAGTGTCCCAGTGGGTCTTAAATAGCTCATCTTTTCCTGCAGTTTTTTTTCTCCTCGACTACTTTAACAGTGTCCTCCCATCAAGAACTCTAAAGCCTTTTCATCAGCTTTCTCAATATCTAGCACACAATAAACACTAAATAAATATTCGCTGAACCAACACTAAATAAACATTTGTTGACTGATAAAACTTACCTGGGTAATGCAAAGGGCACTCAACTTAGAAGGAGAAGACCTAGTTGGTTCTGGGTAATTTACTTTCTAACCTCTGACAGGTCATTTCTCTTTTCTAAGGCCTGATATTCGCCATTTGTAAAACTTAAGGTCTGGACTCGACGATCCCAGAGGACCCTTCCAAGTCAAGTCAAGTCAACAAGCATTTATTAAGCGCCAACACGTGCCAGGCCCTGTGCTAAGCGCTGGTTATTCAAAGATAGAAAAAAACTGTCCCTGACCTCAAAGAGCCTACAGTCCAATACTCCTGGGGTGCTGTCAAATAGAATACTGTGGATGGAGAAGTGGAAGAGACCACATTCTGGGGCACCGCCCGCTTATCTGACAGAGGAGGAAACTGAGGCGGGGAGAGGCAAGGTCATTCCCAAGAGCCTTTGGGGCCTCCCCAGGGGTGGGGGCCGCTCAGGTGCAGCACAAACCTGAGGGTCCCCCGGAGTTGTTATTCCGGGGTCGGGGGGGGGCTCCCCCTGGTGACGGGCCTGGCTCCGGAAGCCTCCCCGGTGTCGGCGGCCCAGCGCCAGGGCCGGCTCGGGGTGAGGACTGGGAAGCTGGAGGAGCTTCCTTCTAGCCCCGGGCTATGCCCGCGGGGCCGGACTCTAGGCTCCCCGCCCGGCCCTGCCACGCCCTCGGGCGCCCCGCTGCCGCTGCCCGCTGGAGCCGAGGCCAGGACCCCGCCCTCACCTTCCCTTCCTCCCCGTTTCCTTGGGCCCACGGCAGCTGCCTGGGCCCAGCCCCAGCTCACCTGCGGCCAGGCAGCTCTAGACGTGGCTCCTCCTGCCGGAAGTGCGAACCCGGCTCTTGCAGTCGCCATATTGGGAAGGCGGGAGAGCACTTCCGGCGGAAGCGGCGCCTGTCCTCGAGCTGGCTCATTCCCTCCCCTCCCCAGGAGACCCTGGGGTCCGGCCGGCTTAAGACCTGGAACTGGCGATGGAGGGAACCTGGGGGCCAGGCGTGCCTGGCGCCTTCATTGTGCACATTCCCCAGTTCTAGACTAGGAGCTCCCTGAGGGCAAGGTCGTGTCTCAGCCTACTCAGAGAGACCTGGGATCTCATTTATTTCGAAGTTCCCTCCAAAGATGCTGATCTCACCCCGTTCATGCCTGCCCATCTGGTGCCCTCCTACCTATCACCTCCCAAAAGTTGCCCGCCACAGGAGGAGCAGGAGGCCTTCCAGGCTTTCTCTGAGCACCCAGTCATTTTTTTCCTAGCCGACAATTTCTTCATGATGTTGAGATCGGCTGCCAAAATCTTCCTAAAATGACTTCATAACTTCCCTATTTCAGTAAACTCCAGTGGCCTCCCATTACCTCCAGAATCAAATGTAAAATCCTCTGTTTGGTTCCCAAAGCCTTTCATAGCCTGGCCCCATCCTACCTTTCCAGTCTTACACTGTACTCCTCTCCACATATTCTACCATAATAATGGCATTTATATAGCACTTTAAGGTTTACAAAGCACTTTATATATGGCACATCATTTATCTTCACAGCAACTCCGTGAGATAGGTGCTCTTACTTCCCCCATTTTACAGATGAGGAAACTGAAATCGGCAGAGGGTCACACAGTACTCATTTGAAACAGGATTCTTCCTGTTTATATCCACCACCCTATGTTCACCATTCAATCCACTATGCCACCTAGCTGCCATAATAATAGTAATAATAAATCTAACAGTGATTACCCTGGCTCTCACTGCGTATATTACATTTCACTTCTCTAGGGTTCTTTGGTACCTTAAGAGGGTTGGGAGGCAGCCAATCTCTTTCAGTGGCTCAGCCTTCACTGATCCTGTTCCCTCAATTTTGGGGAGTCCAAGCACCCTAGTTTCATTTAACCACTGAACAGACAGATTAGCTTAAAAGCTAAAGAAATGTTTACTTCAAAGGTATAGCAAGAAGAAACATTGCCCCCAACAACCTGGGGCATAACTACTCTATACTTCCTTGGTTTCTGGGAAGGGGAGGGGGAATCAGTTCACAGCTTAGCTAAATTCCTATATAGCAACAGTCCCACCAACATCCAAGTCCAAAGTCCCCCGAGCTCTAGTCCCAGCACCCTGCCTTCTCAGGCCTTCTCTGCTGGGTCGTAAGCAACATTTGACTTGTCATCTTGGGTCCAAGGTCCCCATGGCTTGAGATTCCACGTTCATGGACTCCCATCTAGAACTGAAGACAATTGAAACAGACCAAAATTCCAAGCCCATTTCTTGGGGACATAGGGCCCAAAAGGGAAGGGGAAAGGTGATTCTATTTCCCAACCACCACCTCTGGGGGCCATCCCTAGTCATCATGATCTATATCTTCCCACTGGACCCAGATTGCTCCAGAGAAGAAAGTTAGGCTGGTGACTTTGCACAGTCCTCAGTCACTTAAAATCAATTCACTTGCAAGTCATGGCATCACCTTCCTGATATCATGGTTTTCTTCAAGAAAGAAGGACAAATCACCACCACCACCACCACCACCACCTCCACTTCTCCCCACCCCCTAGCTTAGTGTACAACCTGTAGGTGAGTAGGACCTTCAGTCATAGTAATGGATACCAGCGGAAAGAGAGTGTTCCACTGCGCCTCAGTCAGGCAGACTTACAGACTGCAGACAGTAGGTGGTAGTGGAATGAATGCAGGATGGCTTCTTCCAGAAGCAGGTCCCTGGCTTGGGGACCACATGGGCTGCCTGCATCTTAGGTGACCTTGGCATGTGCCAAAGTTCTGTTATAGAAATCATTTGTAAAACAACAGGCTTAGAGTAGATGAACTCTAAGGTCCTTTCCAGCTCTGACATTATTCTACAATCTAACTTTCCTTCTAGTTCTAACAGTCTATATTCTAAGGTCTCTTCCAGCTCTGACGCTGGAAAGTGTTTATTACGTATTTGCTATGTGTAAGGGACTGTGCTAGGTACGGGGAATACAAAAGTCCCTGGTTTTAAAAAGTGCACATTTTACCCAGGGTGTATAAGGGGGAATGTACCAGGTATGTGAATGAATGAATGTAAAATATTCATAAAATAAATGTAAAGTAAGAGGTGGGGGTTATGGGAAAGTGAGGAACTCTAATAGCTGAGAGTATCAGGAAAGGGCTCATTAAGGTGGTGGTGATGGGGTGCTTAGATGCCTGTGCTTGGACCCCAATTTCTTCCTGGCCTCAGAAACACTATCCTTGGCAATTTTTCCCCAGCCCAAGGACACTGTCCCTAGCAATTACTCATGAGCGGGCCTCAGCAAAACACTTATCTCTGTCCCTGATGACACAAAGCTAGGTGAGAGAGTGCTGGGCTATCCCCAGCCCTAAGATCATGTCTCTGGAAGCCTCCCAATTCCTTAGTAAGCTCCTGTCTTGTGAGAAAACTTTCCCTTGTTGCAGAGCTTTCTCTAATCAGGACAGAGAGAGAGAGAGGTGCCTGGTCCAAGGATTTTTGTCCCTGACTGGCCCAGGGACTCTTCCTCCCACTAGATGTCCAAGATCCTCTGACATCTCCCTCCCTATCTGGTATACTCCTACACCTTCCCATCCATAACTCCCAAAGACACCTGGACCTTTAGATTACCTAATTAGTATCCCTGGCATTCCTTTCCCATGCCCTTTTCCATATAAATCCTAGCTCCATCCTCAGTCTTTCAAAGGTTCCTTAAGAATCTTTGCCTGCTGAAAAGTGTAACTCAAAGAACGTTTGAGTCTGTGAATTCATTCCAAACAATCCCGTCCTGTATTCCGGTCTTTGAGGGGTCTTAACCTCTCAGACCACAACAGTGGCACTTGAACTGAGCTTTCAAGGTTGCTGTGGCTTCTAAAAGGTGGAGGTAAGGAGGAGTGCATTCCAGACATGGGAGAAAACAAAGGCAAGAGAGAGAATATCCACTGTGGTGGAGCATAAGTTGACTAGTTTGGCTGGAATGTGGAAGGGATGAGAGGAGCAATGTAAAATAAGTTGGGGAAGAGAGGCCCAAGATAGATCGTGAAGGGCTTTAAATGCCAGAAGGGCTTGAGACACCCATAGAAGCTTCTTAAACAGAGAAATGATATAGTCAAGCCTGGGCTTTAGAAATATTTATTTGGCAGATACTGTGCTTCGTGTTTTAAGGTCCACCCCCACCCCCAATATTCTGATTTCTTCCTTGTGTCTTTGCACTGGCTATCTTCCATGCTTGGAAGGCACTCTCCCTCCCTCTGCTTGGAGTCCCTAGGGCTCTTCCTCTAAGATGCACCATGTTTAATCTTGCAACCACCTTCAGCAAAAAGCCTTTCCTCATCCCCCCAAACACTAGTGCCCTCCCTCCCATGCCACCTTCTATTTAGCTACTTTGTATAGACTTCAATTTATCAAGTTGAAAATCACTGCTGAATATATTTTCATGTGTATTTTTTGTCTTGGAGGCAGCTAAGTGCAAAGTGGTCATGCTGGGCTTACAGTCAGAGAGTCAGGAAGACCTGAGATCAAATTCTGCCTTTGACATAGCTGTGTGACATTGGGCAAGTCACTCAACCTATCTGAGCCTTAGTTTCCTCATCTATAAAATGGTTATAATAATAGCACCCACTCACGTGGAATTGTCATAAAGGTCAAATGAGATAACACAGGTAAAGAGTTTTGTAAACTTCAGAGCACTACAAATGCTAGCTACTTTTAGGATGTAAGCTCATCACAAGTGGCGATTTTTTCACTTTCCTCTCTTGAATCCCCAGTGCCTCACACAGCGTCCAGCACACAGTAAGTGACTGATTCATAGCTGCCTGCTGATACTTCACATTTCTATAGCACTCCAAGGTTTCCCAAACGCTTTCCTCTTCCCCCCTGAAGTGGGCATGGCAAATATTATTCCTGTCTTACAAATGAGAAAGCTGAAGCTTGGAGAGGGGAAGAATAATGAGCTAAGGCTTACATTGTGCTAAGCACTTCACAAACATTATCTAATTTTATCCTCACAACAACCCTTCGAGGTAGGTACAAACGGTTTGCTCACAATCGTGTAAGACTGAAACAGCTATGAGGTAAACGTCATATGAGGAGCAGAAGCAAAGTGTTGTGGACATCCCAGGGAGGAATCACATGCTTTTCCTATCTGGACCAGGGTTTTTCTGCTTCATGGAGGAAGTGGCTTTTAAGGTGGCCCTTGAAGAAGAGTAGGGTTTCAATAGGATAGGAATAGAGTCTGGGCTTGTGATATCTTTGGAATCTTGTTGGTCAGTCATGTCCAACTCCAGTTTATTTTACAGATGAGGGACTGCAGCAAGCAGGGTAAAGTTACTTGCCTAGGGTCACACTGCTAGTGTTTGAGACTAGATCTGAACTCACAAAGATGAGTCTTCCTGATTCCCAGCCTAGCGCTCTATCCATTGGGCCACCTAGCTGGCCCTTCGTTGGTATAGTG